CTTTAGTGTCCTCAAGAGGACCTATACATGCTATGTGAGGCCAACACTAGAATATCGGATAGCTGCCTGGGGCACCGCAGCTAAATCACATTTCAGAACATCTCAAAGATCCAAAATCATGCTTTCCGTATTATGACAGGGGCCATACGCAGCACGGTTATATCAGACATGGAAACACTTACTGGTCTTCATGCTCTGGAAGACAGGAGATACCCAACGCTCCTCACCCAGCTCTCCAAATACCCCCACTTTAAAGAACAAGCCTTGCACAGTCAACTGCAGACACACCAGAGGGCTAGACTAAAGAAGACATGTTTCTCAAGATTTAATACACGTGTTTATAATTATTGACTCATTGAATATGCTAAAGAAAATCGAGGTTGGGTATATTAGACAAAAATGGATTGTGTCATTAAGCACACAGCGAATGGCTGGCTTAATTTTTGTACCGGGTCGTGTGTGTGCTAGAGTTAGTGAGCGAGCAGATTATCTGGCAGACACTAGCATGGTACTTGACATTAGCGATTTCATCAATGCAAGCACAGAATCACACCGAGATCGTTTCACTTGCACCTTCCAGTATCTCGCCGCCCAGCCACATCGGTAATGCAAGCCTTATAGGTATTATGTATAACTGAGCGCATGTTTGTTAACATTGTCAACAATGCTTCTATCCTTCTTCTAAACCATAAGCCTAAAACTGCATTCAACTTGAGGTTTCTCGTTTCCCCTGAAGCTAAGATGTCAAGTCTAGTGGTTGCAGTAGTTACACATATCCAGTGCATAAGTGAAAAATGGCGACTTCGTTATTTTCTTCTATCTCCAATAAAGGGCATCAATTTGCGAGCCCACACGGTTTTGTGTTTGTCTGTTTTTCATGACAGAAAGGTGAAAAATCTTCTCTGCTCGCCTCCCTCTAATAATATTTCCAATCTGTCAATCCGTCTGGAGTTCCCACTTTAAAAGTCAAGTATTTAGCATGCCCGTGGTGTCTCGGGCACCGGATGCTACTCATATTTGAATAGGCAAATTGCCACTCGACAGCTGATGCGGTCAATAAATAGCACGGCGATCATCTTTACTTTCCACGATATTTCCTGGTACCCGCTTTAGTCAGGGTCGGCCTGGGAGAGATGCGGACTGGACACCCGGACGGACAATAAGTCAGGAGGACAGCCAACTTGCTAGACGGACGGACAGTCAAGAGAACTGCCAACTAGCTAGGCGGACGGACAATCAGTCCGGAGGACAGCCAACTAGCTAGACGGACGGACAATCAGTCAAGAGGACAGCCAACTAGCTAGACGGACAGACAATCAGTTAAGAGGACTGCCAACTAGCTAGGCGGACGGACAATCAGTCAAGAGGACAGCCAACTTGGACAAGCCAGCCGACACCAGATTCTCGACATTCTTCTTCATATTACCGTGTGTAACTCCAGGCAAAGTTCTCGTTTTCATCAACCTTTGAACTTTGCTCTTCTTCCAGAATTTAAGTTTGGCATGCATGCCTGTTTGACAGATCTGACTAATCTGTGTGCAGACTATCAGGCAGACTCGGAAGGAAACATCCCTAATTAGTGGACTCTTATGACATGCTTGCTATGGGGCAGTGTCTCTACCCCCTCCCCCCCCCCACCAATCAGGGATCGGCCATCTAAATAGTGTTTCTTTAGAGGAGTGTGAGTTATACTGACTGACAAATGAGCAACGGTAATAGAGTTATCAGGACAGACATGTAAGTGAACGGTTCCCCCCAGTGTCTATGTGACATCTGATGTTATCTCCAAATCTGCATGAAATACTTTCTCCTTATGTATGTTCATTTTGCAGTCATGCCTAAATTACTTTATCAAAGTGACCACAATAGATATTTATATCTGAAAGGTATCAAGCAAGAGGTTCATTTCTCTCTCTTTTATTTACATCAATACCAGTGCACTACCAGGCAAGAAAATAACAGTAATGTACACACAATGAAAAGAAAGATGAAGTAGAAATGAAATTATATTGCACAGAAAGTGATCAGTATGGTGTCCATCTATGGACAACACCAGCCCAGCAAAGTCTCTGACATCCAGCCTCCCAAATCTCAGAGTAAAAATGTCCACCGTTTCTGTGAGAAAGTACATAGGCAACAGGTGCATGTTTGTGACACTAGGCTGTACAATTTCTTGGCTGAAGTCAAGGAAGACATCTCAACAACAGACTGCCCCTCTGGCAAACACAAAATTCATTTTCAAGTGAAACCTGACCAGCAGATGAGTATAAACTGTCTTGACACACATACAAATCTGGCCACAAAATTTAAAATGTCTTGGCTCACAGATCTGGCCACAAAGTTTAAAATGCCTTGGCACATAGATCTGGCTACAAAGTTTAAAATGTCTTGACACACAGATCTGGCCACACAGTTTAAAAATGTTTTGACACACAAATCTGGCCACAAAGTTTAAAATGTCTTGACATACAGATCTCCCTACAAAGTTTAAAATGTCTTGACAAACAGATCTGGCCACAAAGTTGAAAATGTCTTGACATACAGATCTGGCCACAAAGTTTAAAATGTCTTGACATACAGATCTGGCCACAAAGTTTAAAATGTCTTGACACACAGATCTGGCCACACAGTTTAAAATGTCTTGACACACAGACCTGGCCACAAAGTTTTAAATGTCTTGACACACAGATCTGGTAACAAAGTTCAAAATGACACACAGATATAGCCACAAAGTTTAAAATGTCTTGACACACAGATCTGGCCACAAAGTTTTAAATGTCTTGACATATAGATCTGGTCACAGAGTTTTAAATATCTTGGCTCATAGATCTGGCCACCAAGTTTAAAATATCTTGGCTCACAAATCTGGCCACCAAGTTAAAAATGTCTTGGTACTCAGATCTGGTTACTGAGTTTAAACTGTTTTGGCACAGATAGCTGGCCATTGAGTGTAAACATTCTCAAACCAGTGAGGATTAAGTTATCTCAGCACACAGATCTGGACATTAATGGTGCGTCAAATCTCTTCAATAAACAATGATCAGAAACTGGTTGAAATATTTCTGTGTGGGGAAATCTAGCCAGGTGGTTTGTGTACAATTTGGCCGGTTGGTGTAAGAGATGCCAGGAGGAAAAGGAGCAGCAGGAAGATGGTAAAATACAGCTGGCTCCATTTCATTGGGCTGAGGAGAGAGAGAGAGAGAGAGAGAGAGAGAGAGAGAGAGAGAGAGAGAGAGAGAGAGAGAGAGAGAGAGAGAGAGAGAGAGAGAGAAAGAGACAGAGACAGAGACAGAGAGAGGGAGACAGAGAGAGGGAGACAAGAGAGAGAGAGAGAGAGACGGAGAAAGAGACAGACAGAGAGAGCACGAGAGAGCCCAAATCATGAAGCTACAGCATGTCTATAATCAGCCCCAGAATCTCTGAAACAACAGCACTCTCGAACCATTGATTTAATCCTAAATTTACCATGCAACCTTGTGAGCCAAACAGGTCAACCACTTTGCCACTCTTGTCATTTGTGAAAGAAGTCTGTTCATTACAATTATAAGAAGTATCTGGTCATGGTAGGATAGAAACAATTAAAACAGATGCGTGCGTACACACTTACACATAGGTGTATGCACACACATATACAGAGGTGTGTGCACACACATACACACATGTTTCTGCTCATAGTTTCTTTCTTTCACTGCAACATAATACATGCTAATTGAAATAATATTTGAATCTATTTGCCAAAGATTGACAGGTGGGTGGAGTTACTGATGTTGTCTGTGATTTCTGTTCACCTGGCCAGGGCTGCAGGCAACATACGTTCACAATCTGATGACAGGGAACTTATACAGCATGCAACAGGCCATCTGTACTTTCCCACTCAACTCTAAACACAACATGTGCTATCTCGAAGTGTCTGCCCACTAGATATATGATGCTATCTACCAGAGGTCGAGACTCAAGTCCGAATTAAGTTGTGTAATTAACAACTTGAGACTGAACTTGAGGTTTTGTCCAGTGACTTGTAGCACTGACAACTTGGTATGGCTCATTTTTCACGGCTGGCCACTGTGAGATTCGCTGATCAACGTCACATTTTAAAATATCATCATATAAAAACAGGATAGTATCAATCCTGTTTCGACTGATCAAGCTTTCACATTCAACTTCTTCCGCTTTTAGATAATTGGTGATTCCTTCACTTGCCATTTCTAAGTTTGTATTTTCACCATTATTGACTGATCCATAAGCACTGTCCCATGCACGACTTGAAATATGAAGTCACTTGACTCAAGACTTGGCTTGGAGGCATTCTTGGTGACTTGAGACTTCACTTGGTGATCAGTGTTAATGACTTTGCACCTGAAATGGACTTTAAGGGTGGCGAATAAGTGCAACCACTGTTATTTCAACACACAAGTGAAAGATCTGTTTCCTCACCTTGTAGCTACTTCCACACACAAATATAGGATCTGTTTCCTCACCTTGTATCTACTTCCACACACAAATATAGGATCTGTTTCCTCACCTTGTAGCTACTTCCACACACAAATATAGGATCTGTTTCCTCACCTTGTAGCTACTTCCACACACAAATATAGGATCTGTTTCCTCACCTTGTAGCTAGTTCCACACACAAGTAAAGGATCTGCTGCCACACCATGAGTCAAGTTAGACACAGAGTTCCAGCCTCATTAATTTCATAAACCATCAGGCACTCAAGGGGTGATGAGGTCAATGCCACACCACTTGCCTCTACTCTCCAGGACATTTGAGGTTAGGTCAACCTGTGAGTACCATATAATAGTGCTCTGACTGGAGATGTGCTGGGTGATGACAGTGCTGACAGATGTTTCCTGAAGTTAGAGTGAAAGGACAACTAGCTCAACAGCCAAACACTTGATGCACACACCAACACCTTCTGCTTAAACATATACATCTACTGGGTGTTGAAGACCAAACAAAACAAAACAACAAACATAAGAATGATGGTGCTGCTGTCTGCTCTATCTGGCACGGTTTCCAGAGCCGGTGGCATTGTTTCTTCTGGCTGTCAGCATGTCATAGAATGGGTTGTCATTGATACTGGCCCTGTGGAGAGACATGGACATCACTGGTTGACACCAGGTGTTGATACATCAATGTTACTACATCCTATGCACATATCACTCAAGTGGTGCATGTTGTCATAAACTGTAAGTTCTATGCACATATCACTTGAGTGATACATGTTATCATACACTGTTAAGTTCTTTGCAAATATCACTCGAGTGATTCATGTTATCATACACTGTTAAGTTCTTTGCACATATCACTCAAGTGATACATGTTATCATACACTGTTAAGTTCTATGCACAAATCACTCTAGTGATACATGTTATCATACACTGTTAAGTTCTTTGCACATATCACTCTAGTGATACATGTTATCATACACTGTTAAGTTCTTTGCACATATCACTCAAGTGATACATATTATCATAAATCGTTAAGTTCTATGCACATTTGACATGATTGGTACATAAATCACTTAAGTGGTAAATGTTATAAATAAATAAAAAGCTCTAAACATAAATTCTTTTAAGAATAAACATCAATAAAAATTAAAGTGTTCATGCACAAGTGATAAATGTGAAACATAAATTAGTTAGTTAGTTAGTTAGTTGGGTTATCTTCATTGCACTCCAGACATGTCCATAGGTGCTCAGATCCTCCCCTCAGTATGAACCCCAACGTCCGATGGCTAATAGTACCAGTTCTATGCTTATTAACAAGTCTTCTGGCGTGTCTGGTGTGCGTCTCGTTTTTTGCTATGCCGATCTTAATTCCCAAGACTGCCATTCTAGTGAGTGATGTGGATTCACTCCCCCCAAAGTCCTCTATCCTTCCCATTTCTCTGAGGGCATTACTAAAATCAGCATGATCTATAGGCTGACCGTCGGTAGTGATAGCGGATCCAGCCAACTTATCAGCTCTTTCATTTCCATCGATGCCTACGTGCCCCGAAAAAAAAAAAATAAAGGTGACTCCACGCACAGTGGACTTCTGTAATGATTCAAGCTATTGTCTTCGCACTGAACGTGCCTGAACCTTCTGGATCATACTCATTGAATCACTGAGTATACATACGCGGGTGTAGTTTTGTGTTTTGAGCCAAGCGAACACTTGCGTCACTGCCATCACCTCCATTGTCATGCTGCTGGTTGTTATTAAAAAGGCGCCGTTGGCTTCTTTGAATGTTCTGTCTGCTGAGAATGCCCATGCGCTTAAATGGTGTATTCAACATACAAGTGATGAATGTGATAAATAAATGGTATCATTCCAAGATGACTACTTATACAACTACTGATACATACAACACAGACTACTTATACAACTACTGATACATACAACACAGACTACTTATACAACTACTGATACATACAACACAGACTACTTATACAACTACTGATACATACAACACAGACTACTTATACAACTACTGATACATACAACACAGACTACTTATACAACTACTGATACATACAACACAGACTACTTATACAACTACTGATACATACAACACACTTATACAACTACTGATACATACAACACAGACTACTTATACAACTACTGATACATACAACACAGACTACTTATACAACTACTGATACATACAACACAGACTACTTATACAACTACTGATACATACAACACAGACTACTTATACAACTACTGATACATACAACACAGACTACTTATACAACTACTGATACATACAACACAGACTACTTATACAACTACTGATACATACAACACACCATATGTTCCAAAGGCTAGACATCATGATACATTGACGAACAAAATGATACTTCTTATAAATGAAAATAATTTGAACACAGGTGTACAGAAAAATGACACATTGATCACCTGATGCAGTTTATCCAATCATCTTTCTCACTGACAGAACTGGCCGCCATCCTGTAGACACTGTGCCGACCTATGACAGAGCAGACAAATAATGTTCACTTAGTGCCGACCTGTGACAGAGCATAAAAATAATGTTCACTTAGTGCCGACCTGTGACAGAGCATAAAAATAATGTTCACTTAGTGCCGACCTGTGACAGAGCATAAAAATAATGTTTACTTAGTGCCGACCTGTGACAGAGCAGACAAATAATGTTCACTTAGTGCCGACCTGTGACATAGCATACAAATAATGTTCACTTAGTGCCGACCTGTGACAGAGCAGACAAATAATGTTCACTTAGTGCCGACCTGTGACAGAGCAGACAAATAATGTTCACTTAGTGCCGACCTGTGACAGAGCATAAAAATAAAGTTCACTTAGTGTCGACCTGTGACAGAGCATACAAATAACATTCACTCAGTGCCGACCTGTGACAGAGAAACAAATAACGTTCACTCAGTGCCGACCTATGACAGAGCAGACAAATAACGTTCACTTAGTGCCGACCTGTGACAGAGCAGACAACTATCGTTCACTCAGTGTTGACCTGTGACAGAGAAAAAAATAACGTTCACTCAGGGCCAACCTGTGACAGAGCAGACAAATAACGTTCACTCAGTGTCGACCTGTGACAGAGCATACAAATAACGTTCACTCAGGGCCAACCTGTGACAGAGCATACAAATAACGTTCACTCAGTGCCGACCTGTGACAAAGAAGACAAATAACGTTCACTCAGTGCCGACCTGTGACAAAGAAGACAAATAACGTTCACTCAGTGCCGACCTGTGACAAAGAAGACAAATAACGTTCACTCAGTGCTAACAGTTTCAGAAGATCAGATTACATGTCACAGCAGATTTGTTTATACCAACTATTAGTAATACCCTATGTGCTGACGACACAGTGACAGTGCTGATGACACAGTGGCAGTGCTGAGACAGCTACAAGCCTTACCTTCAATCACTCTGCCATCAGAGTCCACTTTACAAGCTTTGATGACCTCAGAATTTCCTGAACAGAACAGTTCAAAGCTGTTGGGTCGAGATTTCTCCAAAGGAACTTCTCGGACCTGAATGTTCTCTAAAGGAATGATTCCCTTTGGCTCTTTGTCCTGGAGGAGGCAAAGATTATATGTAGTCCATGACCAGAGGTCATAAGGGAAAGTGAAAAACAGTAACACTCTGATCTCCCTTGCACTAACTATACATTCAACACTGTTCACATTAACTACACATTCCACACTGTTTACATTAACTATACATTCAACACTGTTTACATTAACTATACATTCAACACTGTTTACATTAACTATACATTCAACACTGTTCACATTAACTACACATTCAACACTGTTTACAATAACTATACATTCAACACTGTTAACATTAACTATACATTCAACACTGTTAACATTAACTATACATTCAACATTGTTTACATTAACTATACATTCTACACTGTTTACATTAACTATACATTCAACACTGTTTACATTAACTATACATTTAATACTGTTCACAACAGCTATACATTCAACACTGTTTACATTAACTATACATTTAACACTGTTTACATTAACTATACATTCAACATTGTACACATTAACTATACATTCAACACTGTACACATTAACTATACATTCAACACTGTTTATATTAAACCCACTTGTCTGCTATCCCGATGGTCACAGATGGATTCTTAACAAACAATCCTAGGCTGACTCTTTGTGAAATGGGTACTGGACATGTCCTGGGAAGTAAAGGTGCCCAGAATGCCATACTGATTACATTAGCTAAAGAGTGGTCATTTTCTTTAAAAAATCTGGGGCCCTCTATACATGTTCAATGTTCGTCAAAGCCGGAAAAACAGATCCTTTATCCACTTCTGGTTGTTTTTTCCTCTCACTTGAAACCAATTTAGTCGTGGAGCTAAAGAACTGATACTGAACCACCTTCAGCATCTATGTCCATGAGTGGGCAGGGTTCGAGGACCTGTATTTGATAAAACTCAACGTGGTGTACCTGAAATAGTACAGATAACTGTGGCTGAGGATGAATTACCTTCTACTAGCCATGTCTATAACTGGCTAGGGTTCGAGGCCCTGTCTTCTATAAAAAAACTATAGACAGACTTACTGTTGTGTACTTGAAGTAGTACAGACAGTTGTCATTGAGGATGAACCACCGGCGCTTCCAGTTTTTTACTCTGCCACCTGCAATATGAGAGGATGTAGTAAAGTCTGGTTACAGCAACAGTCTGGTTACAGCAACAGTCTGGTCACAGCAACAGTCTGGTTACAGCAACAGTCTGGTCACAGCAACAGTCTGGTCACAGCAACAGTCTGGTTACAGCAACAGTCTGGTTACAGCAACAGTCTGGTTACAGCAACAGTCTGGTTACAGCAACAGTCTGGTCACAGCAACAGTCTGGTCACAGCAACAGTTTGGTCACAGCAACAGTTTGGTCACAGCAACAGCAACACACACCAAGAGGAACAACCACACACACCAACAGGAACAACCACACACACCAAGAGGAACAACCACACACACACCAAGAGGAACAACCACACACACACCAAGAGGAACAACCACACACACACCAACAGGAACAACCACACACACACCAACAGGAACAACCACACACACACCAACAGGAACAACCACACACACCAACAGGAATAACCACACACACCAAGAGGAACAACCACACACACACCAAGAGGAACAACCACACACACACCAAGAGGAACAACCACACACACCAACAGGAACAACCACACACACCAAGAGGAACAACCACACACACACCAAGAGGAACAACCACACACACCAAGAGGAACAACCACACACACCAACAGGAACAACCACACACACCAAGAGGAACAACCACACACACACCAAGAGGAACAACCACACACACCAAGAGGAACAACCACACACACCAAAAAAAAAAAAAAGTAGATGTTGATGTATTAGCTGCAGTACAGGATTAGAACAGATGTCTACAAATGCAAGTTTGCAAGAGCCCCTACCATTGGTCACAGACAGACAACAGAAGCAACTGTGTCACAGGTAACATAGGAACAACATAGTCACACATCAACTGAAACAATGTCTTACCTTGCTTCATAAGCCAGCCTTCCTTGACCGGGTTAAAAAAAGTGTGCATCAGATCATTACCATCATCTTCTGGGATCTTGAAAGGCTCTTTTTTGATGCTCTCATACAAGTTCTGGCAAAGACAGCATGGAATATATTTTCCTACAGGTTCTGGCAAAGACAGCATGGAATATGTTGTTTTCCTACAGGTTCTGGCAAAGACAGCATGGAATATGTTGTTTTCCTACAGGTTCTGGCAAAGATAGCATGGAATATGTTTTCCTACAGGTTCCGGCAAAGAAAGCATGGAATATGTTGTTTTCATACAGGTTCTGGCAAAGACAGCATGGAATATGTTGTTTTCTTACAAGTTCTGGCAAAGACAGCATGGAATATGTTTTCCTACAGGTTCTGGCAAAGACAGCATGGAATATGTTTTCCTACAGGTTCTGTCAAAGATAGCATGAAATATGTTTTCCTACAAATTCTGGCAAAGATAGAATGGAATATGTTTTCCTAGAGGTTCTGGCAAAGACAGCATGTAATATGTTTTCCTACAGCTTCTGGCAAAGACAGCATGGAATATGTTGTTTTCCTACAGGTTCTGGCAAAGATAGCATGGAATATGTTTTCCTACAGGTTCTTGCAAAGAAAGCATGGAATATGTTGTTTTCATACAGGTTCTGGCAAAGACAGCATGAAATATGTTGTTTTCTTACAGGTTCTGGCAAAGACAGCATGGAATATGTTGTTTTCCTACACGAGTTTAGCATTCTATACAGTTTGCGGTGGCTTCTGCCTGTTGTTGTGTTTATCAGTTGTTACCCAAAGAGGAGCATATTACTTAGCATTGGCACTGAATGCTGTAGGGCCCTGACCTGGGAGTGGTGACCAATTTTTGCTTTGCCGTACAGTAGCCACATGAGACCTGAATGCTGGATGGCACCGACCTGGAAGTGTTGACCAATTATTGCCGTACAGTAGCCACATGAGACCTGAATGCTGTAGGGCCCTGACCTGGGAGTGTTGACCAATTGCTGCCGTACAGTAGCCACATGAGACCTGAATGCTGTAGGGCCCTGACCTGGGAGTGTTGACCAATTATTGCCAAACAGTTGCCACACGAGACCTGAATGCTGTACGGCACTGACCTGGGAGCGTTGACCAATTGCTGCCATACAGTAGCCACATGAGACCTGAATGCTGTAGGGCCCTGACCTGGGAGTGTTGACCAATTATTACCGTACAGTAGCCACATGAGACCTGAATGCTGTACGGCACTGACCTGGGAGTGTTGACCAATTGCTGCCATACAGTGGCCACATGAGACCTGAATGCTGGATGGCACCGACCTGGGAGTGTTGACCAATTATTGCCATACAGTAGCCACATGAGACCTGAATGCTGGATGGCACTGACCTGGGAGTGTTGACCAATTATTGCCGTACAGTTGCCACATGAGACCTGAATGCTGTATGGCACCGACCTGGGAGTGTTGACCAATTGCTACCATACAGTAGCCACATGAGACCTGAATGCTGGATGGCACCGACCTGGGAGTGGTGACCAATTTTTGCCGTACAGTTGCCACATGAGACCTGAATGCTGGATGGCACCGACCTGGGAGTGGTGACCAATTAGTGCCATACAGTGCGTGAGACCTGAATGTTGTAGAAACTGTAGATCCCAGGAAACAGGACCATGACTGTAGAGGGTCCTTGTTTACTGTTGGAGAAGGTTGGCCATTCCATGGATGCTGTAGGACTGAGTGTGAATACACGTCACATGAGACTTCAGCCAAGTGTGAATACACGTCACATGAGACTTCAGCCAAGTGTGAATACACGTCACATGAGACTTCAGCCAAGTGTCAATACACATCACATGAGACTTCAGCCAAGTGTCAATACACATCACATGAGACTTCAGCCAAGTGTGAATACACATCACATGAGACTTCAGCCAAGTGTGAATACACATCACATGAGACTTCAGCCAAGTGTGAATACACCTCACATGAGACTTCAGCCAAGTGTGAATACACCTTACATGACACTTCAGCCAAGTGTGAATACACCTTACATGACACTTCAGCCAAGTGTCAATACACCTCACATGAGACTTCAGCCAAGTGTGAATACAGGTCACATGAGACCTTAGCCAAGTGTGAATACATGTCACATGAGACTTCAGCCAAGTGTGAATGTGTTGTGGGGCTGCTCTCAGTGACAAGCCCAATCATAGAGTGATAGAGAGATACTTGACACGTAATATCTAGTGACACAAGCTCTGGCAATGATTACATAGCTAGAACTTTTATATGACATGTAACTAGACACTTAGTCTTCACACAGATGTATGTTTCACAACCCAGACTATACAATGAATGTTGAATTAAGAATTGACATCACAGCACTCGGGACACTCCAATAAGTGCTCCATCCCCATCTTCAGCAGCAAGCGAAGAGTTCCAATTCCAATAGCACCAGTAACCATGTGATTGTATATCTGTCTCATTCTTCCCCTGAGTGTTGAGCATCTGTCAGATGCCATGGTAACTCCTCGCAGAGCCATTTTACTCAGACCGTAATGATCTATCTGCGCATCCACACTGTTAACTCATCCCCAAAGGGCCCTCACAATATCTAGCTTGTCATACATCAATTCACCTCCAAGTGGTGCAGAGCAGGCCAGTCTATCTGCCTGCTCGTTTCCCAACACACCGGCATGACCTGGAGAAAAAATCCAAAGGATGCTAACTACCTGGGATCTCTGAAGTGATGTTTGCCACTCTGCACGTCTTCAACTTTCTCAACATGCTCTGTGAGTCAGTGACAATCATGGCATGTGTGTACAGCTGATTCCCAAGCCAGTGGAAGGCAGCAGAGACTGCCTCCACTTCCATTCTCAAACTAGACATTGTGAAATCATATGCAAGGCTATTCTGCACTAAGCGACGTCCATTCAACTTTGCTCTGAAACCCCATGCATTTCCTCTGCCCCTCAACGCACAGCCATCTGTATAGATAATCACATCACTTGGGGGAGAATTGTCATGAATCATTTGTTGTTTTTTATGATTCTGCAGCACCAGCTTGACAGTCTCAGCACTCACGACCTAAAGTATGCGTTTGAGTTTTACTAGCTGACTTTGATATGGTAAGCATTCCAAGTCCATAATCTATCACCGACAGGATCACATTTCATAGAGATGTATGTGTCACAACCCAGACTATACAATAAATGAGCTGTTAAAGAACCTTGTTAACTACACCTGGTCTTCATAGAGGTGTATGTGTCACAACCCAGAATATACAATAAATGAGCTGTTAAAGAACCACGTTAACTACACCTGGTCTTCATAGAGGTGTATGTGTCACAACCCAGACTATACAATAAATGAGCTGTTAAAGAACCACGTTAACTACACCTGGTCTTCATAGAGGTGTATGTGTTACAACCCAGACTGTACAATGAATGAGCTGTTGAAGAACCACATAAACAGACTTTCATGTTACATTTATCCAAGACAGGCAACTCACTATCAACAGTTCTTCGGGCAAATTTCCCCCGTCGTTAATTCCCCTGTTCATCTGTATAAACCGATCCACAAGTGGTTTGTCCTTGACACTGGGATTGTGCAGGCTTGTGTTCAGCATGATGATGGCAAAGGATAGAACATAACATGTGTCTGTGGGAATATAACATAGCATGTGTCTGAGGGAATATAACATAGCATGTGTCTGTGGAAATATAACATAGCATGTGTCTGTGGGAATATAACATAGCATGTGTCTGTGGGAATATAACATAGCATGTGTCTGTGGGAATATAATAAAGCATGTGTCTGTGGGAATAAAAATAACATGTGTCTGTGGGAATATAACATAGCATGTGTCTGTGGGGATATAAAATAGCATGTGACTGTGGGAATATAACATAGCATGTGTCTGTGGGAATATAACATAGCATGTGTCTGTGGGGATATAACATAGCATGTGTCTGTGGGAATATAACATAGCATATGTCTGTGGGAATATAACATAGCATATGTCTGTGGGAATATAACATAACATTTATCTGTATAAATATAACATAACGTGTGTCTGTGGGAATATATTACAACATGCATATGTGGGAATATAACATAACATGCATCTGTGGGAATATAACATAACATGTGTCTGTGGGAATATAACAATATATGTCTGTGGGAATATAATATAATATAACATATATCTGAGGGAATATACCATAACATATGTCTGTGGGAAATTTAACATATCATATATCTGTGGGAATATACCATAACATATGTCTGTGGGAATATAACATAACATGTGTCTGTGGGAATATAACATAGCATATGTCTGTGGGAATATAACATATGTCTGTTGGAATATAACAATATGTGTCTGTAGGAATATAACAAAACATCTGTGAGAATGTAATATAACACGTGTCTGTGGTAATGTAATAAACAACATCTGTAACATAAAACACCTGTGAGAATACAACACATAACATCTGTGACAATATAACATCAAACCCTGTGGGAATATAACAATTAAAAATCAGACACATTGTAAGATAAAATATGTGTGAAGCTGCCTCCCGGTCATCCAATTCCACTGACATAATCCCATGTATAATATATATATATATATATATATATATATATATATATATATATATATATATATATATATATATATATATATATATATATATATATATATATATAATATATATATATATATATATATATATCTATATATATATATATATATATATAAATGTAAGAATATAACTCTATGTATAACACATATATGTAGGAATATAACATAATCATAGACATGAATAATATCAGCCTCACATGCCATCTCCACATGGACAGTCTGATGCACTGTGACAGCCTGGCTGACATCATCACATGGACAGTCTGATGCACTGTGACAGCCTGGCTGACATCTCCACATGGACAGTCTGATGCAGCACTGTGACAGCCTGGCTGCCATCTCCACATGGACAGTCTGATGCACTGTGACAGCCTGGCTGAAATCTCCACATGGACAGTCTGATGCACTGTGACAGCCTGGCTGCCATCTCCACATGGACAGTCTGATGCACTGTGACAGCCTGGCTGACATCTCCACATGGACAGTCTGATGCACTGTGACAGCCTGGCTGAAATCTCCACATAGACAGTCTGATGCACTGTGATAGCCTGGCTGACATCTCCACATGGACAGTAAGACTGTAAAACTGTGACAGCCAGGCTGACATCTCCACATGGACAGTCTGATGCAGCACTGTGACAGCCTGGCTGACATCTCCACATGGACAGTCTGATGCACTGTGACAGCCAGGCTGACATCTCCACATGGACAGTCTGATGCACTGTGACAGCCTGGCTGCCATCTCCACATGGACAGTCTGATGCACTGTGACAGCCTGGCTGCCATCTCCACATGGACAGTCTGATGCAGCACTGTGACAGCCTGGCTGACATCTCCACATGGACAGTCTGATGCAGCACTGTGACAGCCAGGCTGACATCTCCACATGGACAGTCTGATGCACTGTGACAGCCTGGCTGAAATCTCCACATAGACAGTCTGATGCACTGTGATAGCCTGGCTGACATCTCCACATGGACAGTCTGATGCAGCACTGTGACAGCCAGGCTGACATCTCCACATGGACAGTCTGATGCACTTTGACAGCCAGGCTGACATCTCCACATGGACAGTCTGATGCACTGTGACAGCCAGGCTGACATCTCCCTATGGACAGTCTGATGCACTGTGACAGCCTGGCTGCCATCTCCACATGGACAGTCTGATGCAGCACTGTGACAGCCAGGCTGACATCTCCACATGGACAGTCTGATGCAGCACTGTGACAGCCAGGCTGACATCTCCACATGGACAATCTGATGCAGCACTGTGACGGCCAGGCTGACATCTCCACATGGACAGTCTGATGCACTGTGACAGCCTAGCTGCCATCTCCACATGGACAGTCTGATGCACTGTGATAGCCTGGCTGACATCTCCACATGGACCGTCTGATGCAGCACTGTGACAGCCTGGCTGCCATCTCCACATGGACAGTCTGATGCAGCACTGTGACAGCCTGGCTGACATCTCCACATGGACAGTCTGATGCACTGTGACAGCCTGGCTGCCATCTCCACATGGACAGTCTGATGCACTGTGACAGCCAGGGTGACATCTCCACATGGACAGTCTGATGCAGCACTGTGACAGCCTGGCTGACATCTCCACATGGACAGTCTGATGCACTGTGACAGCCTGGCTGCCATCTCCACATGGACAGTCTGATGCACTGTGACAGCCAGGCTGACATCTCCACATGGACAGTCTGATGCAGCACTGTGACAGCCTGGCTGACATCTCCACATGGACAGTCTGATGCAGCACTGTGACAGCCAGGCTGACATCTCCACATAGACAGTCTGATGCACTGTGACAGCCAGGCTGACATCTCCACATGGACAGTCTGATGCACTGTGACAGCCTGGCTGCCATCTCCACATGGACAGTCTGATGCACTGCGATAGCCTGGCTGCCATCTCCACATGGACAGTCTGATGCACTGTGACAGCCTGGCTGCCATCTCCACATGGACAGTCTGATGCAGCACTGTGACAGCCTGGCTGCCATCTCCACATGGACAGTCTGATGCACTGTGACAGCCAGGCTGACATCTCCACATGGACAGTCTGATGCACTGTGACAGCCAGGCTGACATCTCCACATGGACAGTCTGATGCAGCACTGTGACAGCCAGGCTGACATCTCCACATAGACAGTCTGATGCACTTTGACAGCCAGGCTGACATCTCCACATGGACAGTCTGATGCACTGTGACAGCCAGGCTGACATCTCCCTATGGACAGTCTGATGCACTGTGACAGCCTGGCTGCCATCTCCACATGGACAGTCTGATGCAGCACTGTGACAGCCAGGCTGACATCTCCACATGGACAGTCTGATGCAGCACTGTGACAGCCTGGCTGCCATCTCCACATGGACAGTCTGATGCAGCACTGTGACGGCCAGGCTGACATCTCCACATGGACAGTCTGATGCACTGTGACAGCCTAGCTGCCATCTCCACATGGACAGTCTGATGCACTGTGATAGCCTGGCTGACATCTCCACATGGACAGTCTGATGCAGCACTGTGACAGCCTGGCTGCCATCTCCACATGGACAGTCTGATGCAGCACTGTGACGGCCAGGCTGACATCTCCACATGGACAGTCTGATGCACTGTGACAGCCTAGCTGCCATCTCCACATGGACAGTCTGATGCACTGTGATAGCCTGGCTGACATCTCCACATGGACCGTCTGATGCAGCACTGTGACAGCCTGGCTGCCATCTCCACATGGACAGTCTGATGCAGCACTGTGACAGCCTGGCTGACATCTCCACATGGACAGTCTGATGCACTGTGACAGCCTGGCTGCCATCTCCACATGGACAGTCTGATGCAGCACTGTGACAGCCTGGCTGACATCTCTACATAGACAGTCTGATGCACTGTGACAGCCTTTGTCCTCTAGTTCCTCTCTTGATGTTGGGTACCCATGTAACACGGCCCGCACCCCCACCCCGTTCTTTTTTAGCACATTTTTTAACAAGGAACCAGATCTCTGTGTGTGGTAGATGTACCCACACTGTCTGAGCCAGATCTCATTCAGTCATGTTTTATTCTGTCCATACTACTACAGCTCTATCACACAAACATACAGTAAACAGACAACCTTGCCCTCTCACCTGTGTTCACAAACACTCCTGGGTTGACAGCACAGTAACGCTCGGCGAAACATTCCATCATTCTGTCAATCTTCTGGGCCTCACCGGGCAAACGGAAGCTCCACAGAAACTGTCTGAGAAGGGTTGGGAAAATATTGTAGGAAAGCAAAGTATCAATGTACCAGTGGTGGAATTAATGTAACAGGTTGGTTACAGACCCGATGTTATTACATCATTCGAATGTACTCTAGCCCTATATGCCCAATTAGCCCAAAGGCATGCAAAAGGATCCTTTACTTACTTGACTTAATGTACTCTAACATTTTGTTATTATATGAGCTGTTCAGTATGTAGAGGACACCACATGCCAGATCAATATATCATCTGCTTCTTCTGATTGTTGCTGTGTGGTGGTGGTCACCCTTTCCATCCACAAACAGTATTTATTCTGAGGAAGCTGCACTCAGGAAAGTACAATTAAACATAATAAAGCAAGAATAAGAATTACAAACAATGATGGGCTCACCTCAAGGCTTGTACAAGAATCATGTCTTTGAACTCGTGCAGGTTGACAAAAGCTCTGAGGACTGACATGCAGAAGACACTCCTGCCAACAGAGAAATGACAAGAGAAATATTTACTTTTTGGCCTCACATGGGACTCCTGCTTGACCTCCTGGCAGTACTGATGTCCCTCACCAGGTCTGTCTTGAATCACAACCATTCAATCTTGACCTCCTGGCAGTACTGATGTCCCTCACCAGGTCTGTCTTGCATCACAACCATTCAATCTTGACCTCCTGGCAGTACTGATGTCTCTTGCCAGATCTACCTTACACCACAACCATTCAATCTTGACCTCCTGGCAGTACTAATGTCTCTTGCCAGATCTACCTTACACCACAACCATTCAATCTTGACCTCCTGGCAGTACTAATGTCTCTTGCCAGATCTACCTTACACCACAACCATTCAATCTTGACCTCCTGGCAGTACTGACGTCCCTCACCAGGTCTGTCTTGCATCACAACCATTCAATCTTGATCTCCCCCGTGTGGGTTCCGGGGCCCCATTGTGGGGAAAACAAGAATAGACCCACTGCCTCCCCAAAAGCATGTCGTAAGAGACGACTAATTGGGGAGCTTCCTTTGAAGTCGGAGTGCATCTGCCGGAGAGGCAAGGAACCAACAGTCTGTATTCAAGAGAATGAGATCTGTAAAACTGATGCACACGCAACACTCAGGTTCTGGAGCAGGACTACAGTTCAGTAGTGGACGAGCAACCAGAACCTTCCGCTAGAGTTTACAGCTGGTGAACGCGAAGAAGAAGAAGAAGAAGAAGAAGAAGAATCTTGATCTCCCGGCAGCACTGATGTCTGTCACCACGTCAGGCTTTATCATCATCATCATTATGTGCCTTGCCGAATGGCGTGAGCAATCATGCCCCACCACAATATGCGATCTCCTGCAGCATATATCAGTTCACATCTAGCTTACATCACAATCATACAGTCTAAATTCAAGTACAGGATGAACAGGATCTGACTTCACCTTCCATCATGCACTACCTCCATGTTAGGGAAGCCTACACTGGATGATAAACTATTCATGCTGGGAGACTGCAAGACATTTCCAGGCATTCCTCATGATGATGGCAGCCACTGAGCACAGTTTCTATTAGACAGTGTGAAGAGCTCACACTGTAATGCTGTTTCTTTTATGAACTGCACTGTGTTCTGCTGAAGCTTAGCAAAGGGGTTAGAGTTCCTGCACACTGCACCTAAATTATGTATAAAGGGATTCTTTTTCAAAACACCACAGCAAGATTTTATGGCGGTGACAGATCTATTTCACCAGTGTGGTCTGAACTAATGAAATAGTGAGACTGGACTGGTTTGAGTGCCACCTTCCACAGCTCATGCAGTCATCCCTGTTTTCATCACTTCTAGGTTTTCATAGTCTAAAATCTTAGGTTTGGGAAATACTGTTTGTTCTGTAGGTTTTCACACAGTGTGACATCTAAGGTTGTGAAACCCAGAAAACATGTCTACCACAGATCTATCAAAGCACGTGTACATGGGATATAAGAATAAACAACTGTACAATAGAATGGGCCACCAAACTCAAGGGCTAAAACACTTGATGATGATGCTGTAGACACGAACATGCTGCACTCAAACAATTAAATCAAATGGCTGTGAAAACTAAAGAAAAAAGAGAAAGCAGTGATACCTCTCCCCGAGATAGTCTCCAATGGCTGTCTTGTTCAAGCCCTCGCCCTGGTAGAGAAACATGGCCACATCCTGGGCTGTGTTCTCCAGCAGCCCATGCTCCATCAGGTACTCAATGCCCTGCACAAGGTCATAGGTTCATGGTGACAAGTCTGATGTACACAACTGTTAGTGAAATCCTCACAGGCAAGTGTTGCAAGCAGCCAAGTGTTGCATGTAGGCAAGTGTTGGATGCAGGCAAGTGTTGCATGTAGGCAAGTGTTGCATGCAGGTAAGTGTTACATGTAGGCAAGTATTGCATGCAGGTAGGTGTTGCATGCAGGTAGGTGTTGCAAGCAGGCAAGTGTTGCAAGCAGGCAAGTGTTGCAAGCAGGCAAGTGTTGCATGCAGGCAAATGTTGCAAGCAGGCAAGCATTGCATGTAGGCAAGTGTTGGATGCAGGCAAGTGTTGCATGTAGGCAAGTGTTGGATGTAGGCAAGTGTTGGATGCAGGCAAGTGTGGATGTAGGCAAGTGTTGCATGTAGGCAAGTGTTGCACGTAGGTAAGTGTTGCATGTAGGTAAATGTTGCATGTAGGTAGGTGTTGCATGCAAGCAAGTGTTGCATGTAGGTAAGTGTTGCATGTAGGTAAGTGTTGCATGTAGGCAAGTGTTGCATGCAGGCAAGTAATGGATTCAGACAAGTGTTGCATGCAGGTAAGTGTTGAATGTAGGCAAGTGTTGGATGAAGTTAAGTGTTTGATGCAGGCAAGTGTTGGATGCAGGTAAGTGTTGCATGTAGGTAAGTGTTGCATGTAGGTAAGTGTTGCATGTAGGCAAGTGTTGCATGTAGGTAAGTGTTGCATGCAGGGTAGTATTGAATGCAGGCAAGTGTTGGATGCAGGCAAGTGTTTGATGCAGGCAAGTGATGGATGCAGGCAAGTGTTGGATGCAGGCAAGTGTTGGATGCAGGCAAGTGTTGGATGCAGGCAAGTTTTGGATGCAGGTAAGTGTTGCATGTAGGTAAGTGTTGCATGTAGGTAAGTGTTGCATGTAGGTAAGTGTTGCATGTAGGTAAGTGTTGCATGCAGGCAAGTGTTGCATGTAGGCAAGTGTTGCATGCAGACAAGTATTGAGTGCAAGCAAGTGTTGAATGCAGGCAAGTGATGAATGCAGGCAAGTGTTGCATGCACGCAAGTGTTGGATGCAGGTAAGTGTTGCATGCAGGCAAGTGTTGGATGCAGGCAAGTGTTGGATGCGGGCAAGTGTTGCACACAGGCAAGTGTTGGATGCAGGCAAGTTTTGGATGCAGGTAAGTGTTGCATGCAGGCAAGTAATGGATTCAGACAAGTGTTGCATGCAGGCAAGTGTTCGATGCAGGTAAGTGTTGGATGCAGGCAAGTGTTGGATGCAGGCAAATGTTTCATGCAGGTAAGTGTTGGATGCAGGCAAGTGAGACCTCTATTGGTTACTCAGCTAGTAATAATTTATGTGTGTGTGTGTGTGCACACACGTGTATGCTCTGTGTGTGGTGTATAGTGTGTGGTGTATAGTGTGTGTTGTTTGTGTGTGTATTTTCTGTGTGTACGGAGGCACACCATCAGTCACGGTTCCCTGTTTAGACAAACAGGTCACCCTATAATTACTCCGTTCCTGTGCAAGTGAAAACCTACATAAAGTACAGAAGACTAGGCAACATTTAAAAGCTCACACATGCATCAAATGCATAAGACAGCTGCCAACAGGCACAGCCAGCCATTTTAATTTCTATTCATAGCTGATGGAAGCAGCAGTCATGACAAACTAACAGATACCCTTGCATTACTGCATAAGTTACACTGCCAATTCTGAGGCAACCAGACACTTCCCGTTTTCTGAATATGTAGTTTACAACACACATTTCTGGAAGTGAAGATAATTATTTCTCATGAAATTCACAGCCTATGATGTCGCACCATGCACTCACTCAGTAGCTGGCCAATGGAACCATATTTCACATTTACCTTATTTGTTGTCCCATCCAGTTTCTGCCACTGGATTTACTAGGGAGAATAGGGTTCACCACAGGAAAGTGAGGTTTGAGCAAGAGAGGCTTAGAGATATCTGGAGTGTAGACCTGTGCAGAGCACCTTACAGAGATGCATATCATTTATAAAATCGTCAGACATCAAACTGCAATCCTCTCTGACTTTTGATTCTTTTCTAGCTGCTGCTGGCTTGATTTTAATTTACAATCATCTCTCTCTCTCACTCACTCAACACCGTCTCTCTCTCTCTCTCTCTCACTCAACACACACTCTCTCTCACTCAACAATCTCTCTCTCTCTCTCTCAACACTGTCTCTCTCTCCCCCAAACCTGTCAGCTCTCAATGAAAGATGTATAACTTATACCTACATTAATACTGAAATGTAACAGACAGTGACAAAAACCTACAACAGAGACAGATAAAAGACTGTCTACAACAGACAGACACAAGACAGTGACAACATCAATAACGGACAGACAATCCCTGGCTAGTGTTACCTTTTTGGGATCCATATTAAATTTCTTGCGGCCCACAGAGATCTGCTTGGCTTTGGGGTCAGGTTTGCTGTTGGGTGGGAGGAGACAAGGGAAAGCTACTACAGTTCCTGGCTGTGAGAGTGAGAGAGAGAGAGAGAGGGAGGGAGAGAGGGAGAGAGAGAGAGAGAGAGAGAGAGAGAGAGAGAGAGAGAGAGAGAGAGAGAGAGAGAGAGAGAGAGAGAGAGAGAGAGAGAGAGAGAGAGAGAGAGAGAGAGAGAGAGAGAGAGAGAGAGAGAGAGCAAGTTAAAAGGAACACATAAGTGCTAGTTTCAATGTGGCAAAGAACCAACAAATATAAACCCAGTTTTCAACAACAAAATCTGATGCCCAGGCCAGCCCTATGTCCTTTTGAAAATTGTCAGCTTCCTACTCAAACTACTGGCCTTAAAGAAAATGATGCTTCTATCTTTAAACTGTTAATCTCTTTTAAAACTAGGAGTTTCTTGTTTACGCTATGTGCATTCAATGAAGCGCTGATTGTTTCTTTAGACTATCTACCTTTGTTATAATGGTGTTTGTGTGTCTTTGTTAAAGCAATGTGCCGTTTTTGTTCAAACGATGTCAGTGACAATCAACATGGCACTGCTATAACAATACTTACTTCATGGCTCAAGCACATGGTCTGCTTCTCTCAGGGGAAACAAGCATCCACAGGGACTTCACAGAAGCAATGTCCAACCATTACATGACACTTCTGGCTGGAAGCCTCCTAGGTACACTAACAATAGCTGACCCCACAACACTTCTGGCTGGAAGCCTCCTAGGTACACTAACAATAGCTGACCCCACAACACTTCTGGCTGGAAGCCTCCTAGGTACACTAACAATAGCTGACCCCACAACACTTCTGGCTGGAAGCCTCCTAGGTACACTAACAATAGCTGACCACACAACACTTCTGGCTGGAAGCCTCCTGGGTACACTAACAATAGCTGACCACAAAATCCGAGACTACAGGAAACCAGCTGATGGCCCACTAACAATATGTGGTCCTAGCAGTACATGATCAGTCAGCAGCAACAGGTGGCTCCACAACAGGTGGCACCACAACAGGTGGCCCCACAACAGGTGGCCCCACAACAGGTGGCACCACAACAGCAGATGGAAAATATTACAACAAATGGCAGCATGAAGAGATGATCTAATAACAGGTGGCTCCACTAACTAAAGACTGTAGGATACCACCTGCTGGCTTGATAACAATATGTGATCACACAATGGCAGACGGTCCAATAATAATACGTGGTCACACAACAACAGATGGTCCAAAAACAATTTGTGGTCACACAATAAAAAATGGCCTGATAACAATATGTGGTCACACAACAGGTCAGTAGCAAATGATGGCTACACAACCGTGGATAGTCCAGTGGCAAATGATGGCTACACAACCGTGGATAGTCCAGTAGCAAATGATGGCTACACACCCATGGATAGTCCAGTAGCAAATGATAGCTACACAACCATGGATAGTCCAGTAGCAAATGATGGCTACACACACATGGATAGTCCACTAGCAAATGATGGCTACACAACTGTGGATAGTCCAGTAGCAAATGAAGGCTACACAACCGTGGATAGTCCAGTAGCAAATGAAGGCTACACAACCGTGGATAGTCCAGTAGCAAATGAAGGCTACACAACCATGGATAGTCCAGTAGCAAATGATGGCTACACAAATGTGGATAGTCCACTAGCAAATGAAGGCTACACAACCGTGGATAGTCCAGTAGCAAATGATGGCTACACAACCGTGGATAGTCCAGTAGCAAATGATGGCTACACAACCGTGGATAGTCCAGTAGCAAATGATGGCTACACAACCATGGATATTCCACTAGCAAATGAAGGCTACCAACTGTGGATAGTCCAGTAGCAAATGATGGCTACACACAAATGGATAATCCAGTAGCAAATGATGGCTACACAACCATGGATAATCCACTAGCAAATGAAGGCTACCAACTGTGGATAGTCCACTAGCAAATGAAGGCTACACAACCGTGGATAGTCCAGTAGCAAATGATGGCTACACACCCATGGATATTCCACTAGCAAATGAAGGCTACCAACTGTGGATAGTCCAGTAGCAAATGATGGCTATACACCCGTGGATAATCCAGTAGCAAATGATGGCTACACAACCATGGATAGTCCAGTAGCAAATGAAGGCTACACAACCATGGATAGTCCAGTAGCAAATGATGGCTACACAACCATGGATAGTCCAGTAGCAAATAACTGCCCCACAGCAGTGGATGGTCATGTAAGACAAATAGCTGGTCCGACCACTGTATGCAGACAGGCTTTGGTGGGCGGACAACTGTGGCTGGTGTGAGGATACTGAGTGGCCCAAAGACACACTGTTAATTAGTCAATGTGGATACTGTGATCTGTCCACAGACTGAGCTGTGTCCACGGACTAGAACTGCCACGATCCCTCTTTAACGGATGATGTGTGATGTCCACACAAGTTTCCATGACCTCAGTCACATGGTCTATCGCTACTACACAGAAAGGACTGTATAGATAATATAGCACACTGCAAGATAATATAGCAGATGACAAGATAATATATAGCACACGAAAAGATAATAGCACACGCCAATGTTCATCTGTTGAAACCAAGAGCCATGTCTCAGTGTCTGTAATCCCGGACTCTCGCTGAAGCAGACGAACTCTGCACAGATTATACAGCGATCAGACTAAGGTACCCGCTTGATAATAACGACGCATGTTTGCCCCCCGCTCCAAGATGTGCACACAGGGCTTCATTCGGCAAAATATGACAGCGACTGAATTCAGTACCAGTTATTGTTACGGTACATACGGCGAAGCAGGGCTGTGGTCGTGTGGACGAGACAGCCGAACCAACCAACACTCAACCATGTCATGTATCGTTGCTGGCGGTCAAGGAGCCCGGCAGATTTCTCACAAGTCACTTACGGCAACAGGTTAGGAGAGATCACCGCGTGACATATCATGCCAGCTCCGGCATGACATGTCAATTGTCTGCCCTTGCAGCCTGGCGAGGGGCCGTCGCCCGCGGGACCAGAGTGTACATGCGCTGGGCACCGCGACGTAAAACAATCTTGGAGTCATGTACTTTTGTTTTACCACAAAAGTGTCTCAAAGAGATGAAGGAGAAGAAGATGAAGAACGTGTGACAGGGTGCAAAAGAAGAAAGAATGGAGGGAAGGAGAATAACAAATCACAAGGAGAAGCGACTGGCTGAACGGTTAAGCACGCAAAGATCTCGTGCAGTAGATCCAGGTTCGAAACCTCGGTAAGGTCGTGGATATTTCTGTGTCGGGGGCAAAAATGCAAACCTAACCTGCACAGTGAGTGGCGACAGCAACAGTTATGCGGCCCTTAATACTCAAGCTCAAAGACATCGTTGCCGACAGGCAGTAATGGCAGAATAACCAGAGGAAGAAATGATTCAGTAAAACGACGTCATTTCCGCCTGTCATCAACTAAAAAAATAACAGTCTTACAAATAACACATCCACTGTATCTGTGTAGTGATACAGGCTGCACGGGAGCTTCGGTTATGTCATGTGAAGTGTCAATGTTCAGAGCTTTATACCCGTCCCAGGAATATGCAGACAATTAATCCAGCACTTGCTAGCATAAAGTGTTTTTAAAAGGAGTAGAAAATTATAGGGAAGAGAAAAAGTTTGTAAGAAACAGTTTATGTTAGCTTTACAAAATCGATCACAATAAACAAACAAAGGACGTTGCGGCGATTAGCCTTTATCAGCACATAAAAAACAATACAGAACACATACACAAATATGCTCTAACTATGAAGTGACTACATGGGACTAATGTACACAGTAAATGATACTCATATGTGTTACTGGCGAAAAACTTCCTTCAAAAGGATGTCACGGACAGGTACTGGCGGTACATCAAGCCATCAAGCATCAGCAGTCCAAGCCATCAGTCCAGCGCATTCAAGCCACAGCAGTCGCACACAGCTCTCGCTCGCTCAAACCGCCCGATCAGCCACGTGTGTCTCTCGTTCGCTTGCTAACTACCCATTCATAGCCTGATTATCGATAGCTAGATACTGGTCAGACTCGCTTGATATTCGGCTGAGTTTGGCTCGAACGGCTGAGTTTGGCTTGACTAAGCTATCGGTTTTCGTCTGCGTTTGGGTCATTAGCGGCCCGTGAGCACATCATTTGTTGAAGAGCCAGCCATACCAGCCATTTGTGAAACGATTGTCTCGTGAACTGCAGAGAAAAGCACGCTCGGTATACTTTTCAGTTCACTCAACGAGCCTTGCCAGACTCTGCAGGGAGCGAGCAATCAATTGCCGCCCGACTTATACAGATCTTTGCCAGCCACAGCCACACTAAATCATGGCCCGTGGCAAGAAGAATCCAGTCCAGCGCCGGGACACCATGGCGACCTTAGCCAAAAAGGAGGAAGCACCTGTCGCCCCACCAGAACTGACGATGCCAGAACCGGTTGACGACCCGGAGGAGACACCAGCCCGGACGCCGCCAGCCCTGGATGTAGGCCCTATCGAGGCACCAGTCTACCCAGAAGCCGCCCCAGTCGTGGCGCAGGAAGCCACAAACACCCGCACACTCAGGCAGCAGCATCAGCGACCGGGTACCCACAACACAGAAGTCCTGCAGTGCTCAAGGCGTGGCAACAAGGCGTGGCACACAGCCGCAGCCTGCCGCAGCAGCCCATCGTGCAGGTACTGCTCCAAGCCGCATGACTTCAAGGAATGCCCCTTGGCCAAGATGGACACGGACTTCCGAAAGCCCAACGCCAGCCGGAGATGCTCCAACTGCGCAGGAGCACACAGTGCGAGATACATGGGGTGCCCGTATCTAAAAGAATGCAGGAGAACTCTGACGACCACCACCACCAGCAGAGTAACCACCCATCCAGCAGCAAAAAAGAGATACGAGGCACCCAACTCAACCAGAAATCAAGGAGAAGCAAGACTCGTCGCCACCACTGAAGTAGCAAAACTCCGGAGCGAGCTAGCTTTGATGAAAACCG